ATTTCTGTGTATCAGGCTACATAAACCCACGTCATTAGACCAATAACACAATTATTGCAAAAAGTTTTTTCCTTAAAAAGGCAACACTGTGAAACCGAACAAAACAAGACTGAATCTGAATGAAAATATCTTAGAATTATTCTGCTACAGATTACGTCTGCCGTTGTCCTCTATGACGCACCGGCGCTTTTACTCGACATCCTGCTTTGTTGAAAACAAGGAAGTAATAATCATGTTCGAGTGGATACCTGAGACTGTTTTCTGGCTCTGATCTGAGGAAATGTGACACACCAACAATGAGATGGAGCCGTAACTTCAAATGTTGACAGTAAAACCTGCTCTACAAGGAAATGCAGCTTTATTTAAACAATAAAGCACACCGAACGCTACAGGCAGACTGCTTTCTGCAGCTGCCTTCCTTGTCTCAGGTTCCACCGCAGATATTTGAAAATCAGAGCAAAATTCAAAGAACAACAGGAGTATGAGTTGTGGCAATTTTTTGCCCAAAATGCCTCAAAAATAAAAACACTAGGCATGCTCATCCAAAAAGTAGAATATTAGTGACACCTAGTGTTTTTGTTTTCGGACTTGTGTGACGCTCGTGATCAGCACCTTGTAGCTGGCTCGCTGTGGTGATAAATCACAGCAGCAGGAAACAAGTTACATGACTATAAAAATATGAAAAGAATTTCGTGCTTTGCAATCTAAACGTTCTCTTCATACTGCTGTTTGTTTCCGGTGAAAGCCAAGCTGGGCATGCACACGAACAGTAGCATCAGAACATTCACATTTTAATATAAGCCAACATCACGGCCCTTAAGTCAGTACAAGTTATGAAAGATTTTAATATTGATAGTGAGTTGAGACTCTGAGAGGGATGCTGTCGTCTTTGAGACCAGATTTAGTCCAAGTGTCACCTTCTGTGTTGTATGTCTCTGCTCAGTGACTGCTGGCCTCAAATAAAGAGCAGTGTTTAGTTTGGTGCTGGCACACCTGTAAGGTAAACACTGGGAGTCATATAAACCTGCTGGCTCTAGGGAAATGAAAGATTTGGTGTTGAGATTCAGATTCTTGATTGTTCTTCTTTGTGTAAATTAATCGAGCAACATGTAGAATATCCAAAATAGAATTTCCTGCCGTATGCTGATCAATTTCCAGCTTACGTTCTAGGAGACTGTTCTGGGTTTACACATTTATTACACTCTGTAAACTGTGCTCTCAGAAACGGTACGACGGGGACCACGTGGTACAGAACCCATCCCCCAGCATCCACCAACCATCGAACTGCGGCACCGCTCCCGCTCGCCGCACCACCCGGCCCCGCGACGATCACCCACCGAGCCGAACCACCCTCGCCCCGCCAATGAGGACTCCCTGCAAACCTTCTCCCAGCTGCCCGACAGCAATCACCACCTGCCGGAGGAAATGTACCCGTTGTCGGTGTCCCCGGCTGCACCCAACGGGCGCTGCGCTACACCCAGAGAAGCCCCCTGTCCAGGCAGCCCTGGGGGCCAGGAGGCAGGCCCTCCTCGCGTTATCCAACTCATGCCCAGCGCCATCATGAACCCTTTGCTCCTCAGTCCAAGCAGGAGTGGCGGGGCTGCTGGCATGGACTTCAGGCACAACCGCGGGGGACCCCTGTCTCAGGTGACGCTGGAGAACGGCCGTGAGGGGAAAGTCCACGGACACCATCATCAGCTAGCCCAGCAGCACCAACAGCAGCATCAGCAGCAACAACAGCAGCAGTTACTACAGCAGCAGCAGGAGGAGGCGCTCTACAGGAACCACGTCATCATGCCCGTGTCTCCTCCAGAGGAGCAGCAGATGCCCATCGGGCGGATAGCAGGTAAGATTTAGCGGCGACTGAGCCGAGCATCAAAGCTGCGTGAGGCGGCATCTGTGGCAGAAACCTTGCATGGGAACTTTTTCAGAGAATCTGCTGATAGCGGCTCACTCTGTCTTTTCCCTGTTGGGTTCTGGCAGACTGCAGGCTGCTGTGGGACTACGTCTACCAGCTCCTTTCAGACAGCAGGTACGAGAACTACATCCGCTGGGAGGATCCGGAGAGCAAAGTCTTCCGCATCATGGACCCCAACGGCCTGGCCAGGCTCTGGGGGAATCACAAGGTACATACACACACGGGCTCTAGGTGTTCAGTGGTTATGTGCAGTGCATATAAAAGAGCAGCACAACAGAAGGGACTTTTTATCGTCATTCCTACAACCATAAAGCTGCACTAACTCATTTATTCTTATAAAACATCAGGACAGAGACTTGATTAACTAAGCACCTTAATCACTGAATAGTGAACTTTTGTTTTTTGGGGTTTTTTCCGACAATTTTGTCGACTTGTTTCAGTTTTATAGTCCTAACAAATGTTTCCTGGCACAACAGATGCTTCTTTTCATCACTCTGGTAGAAATGCTGATAGGATGTAAAGTTGAGTGAAATACAGCAGCTCAGTGTAAACACAGACACACTGATGGATTTAGTGTTTCATCTGTCTTAGCTGTAAGGACACTACCTGTGTGTTAGCCAGGCTTTGTGATGAATTAAATCGGTGATGTCAGTGATTCGGTCGAGTTATGCCGAGAGAGCCAATCTCTCCACGGTGTCCTGGATCTCATCTATGGTGTCCTCCTAGTAGGACATGTCTTAAACACCCCACCTGGAAGTGTTCAGGAACCACCTCAGCTGGCTCCCTTCGAAGGGGAGGAGTAGAGGAACTAGTCCGAGAAAGATCATTTCCTCTGTGATCTTCTTCCAGTCAGAGTGGCAGTAATGTAGCTCAACCTGTAACTCAACAACTTCCCTTTCACGCTCAACTGTCTCTTCACCACAGTAAGTGATGCAGACGCAGCGCTAGAGTCGTGCAGCTTGTGCTTTTATGTGCTGAGTGAAAACACAACATTAGAAGAATAACACCAGTATTTGTGGTAAAACACTACTTTAGTTTTGTTAATTTTGGCCAACAATTAAGATGAATTTGTGCTTTAGCAGATGTGATCCTGCTGTAGAGCGCCCCAGCTCTGCAGTGCAGGACAAGCTTTTAGCTAATGGAAGACCGGTTAGCAACACGTGTCTAAATGTTAGCTCCAAAAAGCAGGTGCCGTCGCACAAAGACAAACATGGTGACTGAAAATGTTCCAAAAACATTTTGAGCTCTGACACTGAAACCACAACTACGTGAAGCGTCAAAGGTTTTGTGCATACAAAAAAGACCTTTTGATGGCTTGATTTTCTGGATGATGGGGATTCCAGTGCCCCTCAGGTGTATGTTGTTTGTTTGGCCTCTTGTTTGGTTGTGTATCTCCTACCTCCTCCTGCCTGCTGGTTGTGTAAATTAATAATTATTTGCTGAAACATTAAGCACGCTATACAGCAAACAGGATCTTGCTGTATAGGTCTTTTCAGCTTTTGTGGACTTTTACTGACACCAAGTGGCCAAAATAAATGTTGCTCTTAAATTAAGGTCAGGTCCCCTCACTGTCACACTGACAGCGTTGCTCATGACGCTCCTGCTGTTTTAACTCTTACAGAACAGGACCAATATGACGTACGAGAAGATGTCGCGAGCACTGAGACACTACTACAAACTGAACATTATCAGGAAAGAGCCTGGCCAAAGGCTTCTGTTCAGGTACATCATCTTCTTTTCAAACTTGTCTCGCTGCTCCAAACCGTTATTTACTTTTTGAGTCATCAATAAAACAAAAGAAAACAGGATTTTGAATAATTTGCTGAACTTGCCTCGTCTGTGCCACAGATTCATGAAAACCCCTGACGAGATAATGAACGGACAGACGGACAGGCTGGAGCACCTGGAGTCCGACACAGACGAACAAATCTACATCAAGGAGGAATGCTGAGGAACTCTGGGAAAGCGAGTCCATAAACTGCTTACTACTACTACTACTTCTACTATTACTACTACTACAGCCGCTGATGCCTTTCAGAAGCAGCTCGAAAAATCAACATTGAAATTAAAGCGTGCACAGGTGTTCAGTGGTGTCATTCCTACAGGGAGAGGCATGAAATGCAGTCTTTCCTGACATGGCCTTAGGATGATATTAACCTGGGGAAAAAAGAAAAAAAAAAAAAACAGCATCGGGTGTTTTCGGATCTTTCGGACGGACTGAACTGAAAGGTCTCTCTTTTAAGTGTTTCCTTCTCTTTCCGAGCTGCAAAAGCCAATCACTTTGTGCTTATGTCACTGTTTGATCGTTTTTGTCTCCTCACATGCATTATACAAAGGAATTTTGCTGTTTCTAAAAAACAAAAAGAAAAAAAAGAATGAAAGAAAGAAATTTGTGTGTGAGTGTGTGTGTGTGTGTGTGTGACCGGAATGTTTTCACCATGGAATAAACAACTTTTTGATCAGAGATGTGCTCTATGTGATTTCTCTCGGGGTGTGTTTGTAAGTGGAGTGCATCACATATCCACATGATGGCAGTAGTGGACAACTTTTGCTGGCGGAAGCCTCGGCATGTGGATGGATGTCTGCAGCAGATCAACACTTCAGTGAGTGGAACAGACGCCCGAAGGCTGTTTTCTGTGTTTTTAAGTGCACAAGGTTAAATAGGGGACGGACAGGTGGCACGTGCCTGAGAATCTCTAGCTTTTCATTGGCGTTATTGATGACCTGGCCCGGGTGTGTAGTAACGAAAGCAACCAATCCCTGATTAGTCATCATTTATAGTTTCTGCTTCACTCCTTGAACTACTTTTGGATCACACTCTCACATTCTTCTCGCTTTCTGTCTCCTAACATATAATTGCAGCAGCTTTGAGCCTCGCCTTTATGAATTATGAAACACGCGTGTTGTGGGTTCCCCACATTTGTGTTATTGTTTTCAGCTTTAAAAATACCATTTTAAATGATCACCCATTCTTTGTGACGTTTACGTCAATAGCGGTAATCCGATTACTGTAACGCTACCAGCAGAGGTAGCGGATGCGCGCCGTGCGCTCTGGAGTCTCCATAAAAGTTAGTGCGCACGGAGCGGAGCTGTCAGACTGCGAGGAGACGCGGCTGAGCAAAGACTGTGGGCTGAAGTGACTAATGGGATCCACCTCACTCCATCTGAAGAGTGCGAGCTGATATCACGGGTGATTATCACCCGTCTAATGCGCACAACAGGACCCATTTGAACCTAATAAGACAGCTGTGCAGGCTTTCGTCGGGTTTGTGGACTATCGGGATTAAAACAAAGGGTTTGGATTCAGGAGACTCACCTCTGTGGTGGATGAGGTGCCATCACCGCTCTTTTAAAAAGACGAATAATCGAAAGCAATAAGCCTGTTCGAGTTCATCCGGAGGGGCAAGACAAGCCACCACTCCCGTCTTTTTTCTTTTTTTTTTTTTTGGTTTGTTTTTTTTCCCCCAGGACGCAAATGTCTCCAGAGCACAGGGACGTCACTGGATTGTAACACCAGCAGCCTCGCCGATGGTTTAATAGGGCGTTAAAGTGCGGGAAGGGAGTGGGACAACTACAGGTAAGAGCCATGCAAGCCGTCATTCACGGCCCTGGGTGGGTGGCGGGAAGACTCGCCGATCAGCGCGTAAAAACCACTCAAGTGTCGCATTTGTCCAATCGAGCCTCTCCCCATTAAAAATAGTCATATTTGCATTGCCCCCCTAATAACCAGAAAATACATTTGGATCTATTTTTTGCTCTAATTGCAGTAACTCCTGAAAAAGAAAGTAGAAGAGTCGGGCTTTAGGAGGTGCAGTTTTCTCATTGCGAGTTTAGCGGCAGTGACTGACAATCAATTCAGTTAATTTCACTACCTCAAATCGATGCCGCCTCACTGGGAGTCCTGGATATACAGCAGTGTAGAGCAGGCAGAGGTGACAGTCTAGCTTCACTCAGTCAATAAACGGTAGTCTGCACTGGAGTCTGGAGCAGAGGATCCTGGACCTGGGGTCATGCTTGTGTGCTCTGATTTTAGTGCAAGTAAGAAACTTCGTATGTATATAAGACTACAGATGTGAGTGGACTCATTTTATCAGCTTGACCTCCTGTTCTGAGGCTAACGTGGTTTCACCAGAAGCAAATAAACCCTGTGATGATGAAATGGTGTGACACAGTGGCTGGAGGTTCACATGGGCTCCCCGTCTGCTGCTGCCACTAGACGTGAGGTTTTCATTTCCAAAGTGAAACAGGAAGCAGCTAGAGGAATAAAACCTGATGAGATGGAGTCTAAGCACACACTGGCCTGATGTAAAAACAACTTTTAGGAGCACGTTTTTAAAAAATAATTATCAGACAGCTTCCTTAAACAGCAGAATTTCACCTGTTTTTGTAACTGTATTTCCAAAATCATGTGCCACAATCCAACTCACTTTTTTTTTTTATTGAAATGGTTTTAAAATGCTTCTAAAGGTTAAATAACTCCTCATGATGATCCAAGCTACCTTTAAATTAGTGTGGAGCCCTCTTTCAGTTGCTGTCTTCCTCGTCTTACCCTCCCCATCCCCTCGACCTTTATTTCGACATCACGTGTCCGGGTAACTTGCCACTCCACCTCTCTCTCGACCTTTATCCAATTACAACGTTTAGCTTTAAAAACGCTACATGAAACAACGCTAAAGCTCCAGTTACTGTCAGCAGCTTCATGTTTCCATATCTAATACCAGCCACTCTTCACAATCCCTGCTGGATAGGATTAATAGATTAAAAAATAAGCTACAGATCCACATAAAAGTACACCCTCCCTATCTGGAGGAGCGCTGCACCTAAGTTGGGAACCACTGATCTGAGCAAACACACAGTGTATGAAGTAGTTCAGTCTAAGTGGAACACGTAGAATAAATCTTCTGTCTCGTTTCCTTCCACTCGGAGCATTTGCTTGGAATATTTTTATGTGAGTGTACTGAATAAAGGGTCAGACTCCCTCTTCCACCACTGCTGTGTCTCAGCACAGGGCTGGAGCAAACCACACTATGACATCATCTGGCAACTAATAGCGACTTCTTTTTTTTTTTTTTTAGCAGCCAAACTCTTCTTCCCCTCAGAAAAAGAACTGGCAGCCCCAGCAGTCCGCAATTAGCTGGAAGCATTAGCAGCAGCTCCTCCGGCGTGAACGATGAGCTTTAATGGCTCTGAGCTCGCCTGGCTCAGGTCAAACCGGGCCCCCTCCCTCGGTCCAGCTGGGCGAACTGGTGCCGGATGCCTGGCCAGCACCGGCGGATCGGCCAATGTCACCTTTTAGGGGCAGGTCACACAACCTCGTCCTGGCTCTGCCTGGCCATTGATCCGAAGCAGTGACACTGAGGCTTCATGGTCCGCTGCTCCTCGCCAACCAGGCCGACCCAGCACTGCCGCCGAACAGCTGTGACGGGCAACACACAAGCATCAGCGGGAGGTGGGGGCTGTCTCTGAATTAGCCTGGAAACTTCTTTTTCTTTGGGGGTTTTAGTTAGAGAGTAAACAGGAACTGCACAAATCAAGTGCACCATGATGGAAGATGTCCTGATTTGAAGTCATACCAAAGTAATAAAATCCAAGCAGCACAAGATCCCTCGGGCCTCTTTCAGAGTGATGTGCTCCTGATTCATTCATTAAAATCATTTTTTTGACCCCATGCCTGCGAGGCACGCTATTGACCACCCTGTTAGACTCTTTCCAATGACTAGTTCTATAAAATAAAGACTTTCTCTTGTACAGAGACTCTTTTGAATGTCTTGGATGACACCTGTATGCAAACTGCTCTGGGATTTATTTTTTTTAAATCCACCTCATCTCTCAAATGAAAGACCTCAGAGGAGGTCAGGTGCTCTGCTGCGGCTCCTTGATACGCGACTTTGCGCTCTCCTCAACAGAAATGATTGGAATTTGTGTAAAATATCGGCAGCTGATTGGCACCCGCTGTGCGGTTGTTTGATGTAAGTAGGAAGCGAGAGGCTTTTTCTCTCCCCCCTCCTCACTCCCTTTCTCATTCTATTTGATGTGCAGCTCTCTCTCCTCTCTCTCTGTTTCATCTGAACTAAAACAAATTCACCAGCCGCTGAATAAACAGGAGCTCTGCAGAAATGATACGAAAGCAGCTAAAGGTTCCGATATATTTCCTGCTCTGACCTCGGTCTTCTCCTTCTGATTAGATTCTTTTCTCACTTTGCTTCTTCCACATGCCTTTATTTCCCACATTTCCTTTCACAAGTTTGAAGATTCAGTGCTGGTTCAAAGCCTTCAGCGTAAATGTTAATTACACAGATTTGTCAGTGTTTTTTTTTTTTTTTCTTTGTGTTTCTGAACAACAAGCATTCATTGGATGTTCACTGTGTTATAGAGTAGCAAGCTGGCCCAGTGTATGGTGACGAAGATCCATCTTGATCAGGTAGTAGCGTATAAGAAAAGTGATTCATTACCAGGAGCCGATCCCAGCTGAAATCCACCCTGAACAGGCTGCCTGTCAATCACGGGGCTGATTGATAGGCAGCCTAACCCGGATGCCTGACTGTAAGAGGAAAATCCACACATGTGCACTCCAAAAAAAATTGCCACAACTGGTTTAAACTGTTTAAAACCTCACTCTCGTGCTGCCATGTTTTACAGTGAAAATAAGGCAAAAAAGTTCAGCTTCTTGTGGGAAAGCATAAAGTAGAAAATGATAAATTGACAACATTTATTGTAATGAAGGCAGTGACTGAATTTAACCATTTAAAGAAACGCCTATACTCTTCTGTAACAACAACGGGCAATGTACTGTCACATTTTCCTCTTTTGTTATTTTATTTATTACAGTGTTGTCCATCCTTACTCTACTGCTGTGAGCATATTAACTGAATGAGCTTATTAATTACTATGCATTTTAAAAATGGCTCTATTTGTGTTCATCACACCTGTATTGTTTCCTATATCTATGTCATATATTTTGAAATGTCCTACTGGAATGAATCATTTTTTTCTTTTTCATGTAATAACATTAACCTGCTGCCAACTGGGCTGTTTTCCCCATCTGGGCTTCAAGTATCCGCCTAAAGGCTTCTGCAGCTGTAAACATTACAACCATTACAGGAACATAAAAAATGATTTTGGGTCTGGTATGTGATTCACTGCAAAGCATTACAATGTAGTGATAAGCAGTGGGGAAACTACACACCAGTGGAGCAATTTCTGTTAAAAACTATGGAAAGTTGTAAGAAAAGATGGATAAAATTTATGATAGGAGACTTTCTTACAATTAAAATCACAGATAAAATCACATATAAATATACAACTGGAGGTCATAAATGGTGACTTGAAGGTCAGTGATAAATAGATTCCTTATTCGACCACCTGTCATAAAAGCAAGAAAACACAAATATTTTAGAAATCTGTCAAAAACCTGTTTAAAACTAAAATAGATAATGTTATTTAATTAAATAGCAAACTCATTTCATGTTTTATACTCATATTGGAGCGAACTGGACTTCAATGTTAATGGTAAATGTAAAAAATTCATGGATAAAAATAATAATAATGATATATTTACAATTTAAAATATCACAACTATTAAAGACTTGTGTATACTGGTGGATTCACCATTACAGATGCATAAAAAATATTTTGGAAATTACCTATTACATAAAAAAAAATTAAACTGTGATCAAAGCAAATAGAACCATTACAAAAAAGTATAACTACAGTTATAAATAAGCAAACTCAGTTATTATACTTAAAATAGCCGAGTGAGGATGTGCAAAACTATAAAAGAATGTCATGTAGATCCGTCTTTTTACTGATGTTTATGGGCATGTCTGTAATCAGTGTAATTCAATACCTGGTTAAAAAAATACTGTAAATTTGGGGCAGCTGTGGCGAGGTCCTCACACTGGGTGGTGATCTAATAAGTTGTAAAGCACTGTGCTCTTTTTCAAAGTGTTGTGTGATATAAGGGAACGCTATCACCTCTTACTCTGCCATTAAGCAGTACTGTATTCCTCTTTTATTACTTTATTGTGAAAAAAATCTTTTTATTTAAGCAATGGATTTCTTATGATTTGATCTCACAAATATTTATTGAAATGAATGCGTTTTATGTTTAATGGAAAGCTTAACAGCAATGACAGAGGTATTTTTAATTTTTGGCAGTTTTACCAATAAGGTAAAACATGCAAATCAAGACCAGGAGAATCAGCAATGTTATAAATACTATTTTAATTTTTTTAATTTTCTAATCTTGTTAGGAATTTAAAACCTACCAGCAACTCTATTCCACATCATGTCTAAGTAATGGATTACCTCATCCCAGTCCCAGTTATTTCCTTCCACTCAAAGATACTTGGACAAAAAAAAAGGAAAAAAAAAGAGGGGAACATGTTTTTGTGATCATGTAATTTCCACATTTTCCTTAAATTTCCAGAACTTACAGCTCTCAAATGGTCATTAATTTTCAGTCCATCCTCCCTGAGCCGGTATTCGTTACTTTCCTCATCGCTCATAAATGCTGTGGGTACATGTAAACGATCTTAGTTCTTTATTTTTTGCTTCCTTGGTTTGACGCCGTCACAG